GGTTCGAGAGCGCAGGCGCGCAACGACCTTGAGCGCGGGCTGCTGCCAGGCTCCGAGCCGAAGAAGGCGTTTGGCTCGTTCGTGGCGCCGACGGCCGAGGCGCGGAGCCGCTGGGCGGAAATGCCGGGGCTGGGGTCGGGCGGCCACCTGGGCGAGAGCGGCCGCGCGCCCCAGTTCGGCGCAGGGCGGCGGCGAGGAGGAGCGGCCAGCCAGGCGCCAGAGGACGCGCGCGGCGGCCGCCAGCGGGGGCTTGGGCGCCAGCGCTGCTCACGGCGTCCTCATCCTGCCGCCAGTCGAGGCGCTGGCCGCAGCCTGCGGGTTTGCCTCGGCGGCGGAGGCGAGGGCCCGCGGGGCGGCGGCGCGCAGGTCGAGGGCTGCCGCAGATGCAGCGGCGGCTGCCATGCATGCCTCGCGGGCATTGCCCCCGAAGAGAGAAAAGTTCTCGACGTAGTCCGTTGCCATTTTGGCTCATGTCGCCCCCTGCCCTTCGCCCGCGCCGGCCCGCGTGTCCGGGCGCGCGGGCGCCGCTGGAGGGCGCTGGGATCTGGCTGCGGGGGGCCGCCGCTGGCAGGCGGAGTGGCCCGTGCGATATCTTCGTCGGGGGGGGGGGCTTTTCGGCTAGAGGCCTCTGCGGCTCGGCGCGAGGGGGCGCGCTGGGCCTCTGGCGCGCGCTGGGCCGCCCCAGCGGGCACTGGCGCGGCGCCGCACTCGGGGCGCTCGGCGACGAGGTGGCAAGGAGAGAGCGCCTCTCTCGGCCCATCTTGGTCGCGGCTGCCATCGGAGCGCGTGCGAGGCCCGGGCAGGTGCTGGCGCGCAACTGCGCCCAACGCGCCGCCAGCCTGCCCGAGGACGGGGCGCCCCTGTCCGCATGGCGTCTTGCTGAGCGGGGGCCGCGCCTCGGGGGGCAGTTCGAGGAGCCGACCGCGATCCCCGAGGTCCCGACGGGCCTGGGCGCGGCGCGCTTCGAGGCGGACATGCTTGCGCGGGCGGCGTTGCAGGCGCCTGACGAGGACGGCGACGACTGCGCGTCGGCGGCGGCAGCTTCGTGGAGGCGCCCGCGGCCGGAGAGGGTCGCGCCGCGTCCTCGGCAGCTGATGCCAGGTCGGCCGCGTTGTCGGAATGCGCAGGCGGTGGGCCAGGCGATCGGTGCAACGAGTGCCTGGCCCCAGGAGTTTGGCTGGTGGGCCAGCGTGCCGAAGTGGAGGCCCCCGCGGAGGGCTCGGCTTCGGGCCGGCGGCTGGCGGGGCAGCGCGCGCGGCAGCAGGTGCAGGACGTCTGGGGCGAGCTGAAGGAGCTGCTCGTGGACCCCCTCGCCATCGTCAGTGGCGCCCTGCAGCAAGTGCGGGAGGGTTCTCGTTCTTGCGGGGCCTCCTGTCTGTCTGTCTGTCGCCCATATGACGCAGCCGCCCCCCAGCGCGCGGCGAAGCTCATGGGCACCGTCAAGGCCTGGGCCCGCCTCCTTCGCACAGGGCGGGGCGGCTCTCTGGCCTCGGGCGGCTTCGCGGCGGTCGAGGGGGCCGAAGTGGGTCGGCAGTCCGAGAGCAAGCAACTGCGCAGGCGAGGCCGAGGCCGTGGCTGAGGCAGATCCGCAGCAGCGGCGCCGAAGCCAGCGCGAGCAGGACGTAGACGACCTGACGAAGGAGGACAGAGTCGAGCAGTGCACCCGCGAGAAGTGCGAGCACGATTCTGAAAGGCACGACCGGGTCGAGCAGAGCGGCAGGGAGCAGGTTGTCGCGAAGCAGGATAAAGGCGCCCAGCTGCAGGTGGACCACGACGCGGCCTGCCCCGACGCCGCCGACGAAGAGCTGGCGAGCGGCTTCTTCAGGGTGCGGTCGGAGGCCGAGTTCAAGGGTCACGTCGTCGACATCCTTGCAGGCGTGGACCTTTCCTGGGCCACAGACCTCGACGTCTTCGGGCGGCTGGAAGCCAGGGGCGCGGCGTGGTCGCCCTGGGCCGAGGCGACCGCCAGGGCTCTCATTTTCTAGTTCGTGGCGGAGGCTAGGGGGCGGATGGGGCAAGTGCGAAGCTGCGGGCGCCGCGGCCACGGCCCCCACCACGCCCCTGCAGCTCCTCCTCGGCGCCATGGTGGGCGGGGCGCGCAGCGAAGCCCGAGGCGGGGGCCCCGCCGAGCTCCTGCGCGAGGCAGCGCCAGAAGAATCTGGACGACTTGGCGACGGCCTTCTGCAGGAGCTGTGCAGGCCTCCGCCGGGGCGTCCAGTGGCTCGGAGTTCGGCGGGGTCGAGCGGTTGAAGTCCGCGGCGACTCGCGAGGCGCGGCGGAGGGTCACGGCTCCCCCTCCGAGGAGGAGGCCCGCGGCCGCGGCCTGGTGGCGCGCGAGGCGCAGTGTAAGACATGTTTGGGCTTCTGCGCGCTGCGTGACATTCAACACGGGTAACCAGGCCCGTGAAGAGAGAACGCTGTCGACGCACAGTCATCGGCCTCACCTAAGGAACGGTAAATAAGGGGCGAAGCCTCTTTTGCCAAGGAGTAACGCAGTAGGAACGATAAATAATCAGTAACGCATAAAGAACGGCAAATAACGCATGCGAGCTCCAGGAACGACCGAGCCCCTTTTTGAAAAGGAAGCGTTCCTTGCTCGAACCGCTCACTGGTAATGTGCCAGCGAACGGCGGACAGGATGAATCACGCACCCGCCATCCCTGTCAAGAGCCACTGCAAGGTGCTCACGGAGTGTCCGCTCACGATCCAGATATTGCCGCCACGTCCACCTGGCATTGGTTTTGGCATGGACGTCGGGGGGAGGGCTCATTGTTCCTGGTCGGGGGCCTTTTTCGAATGATGGGGGAAACATTTATGGACAAGGAACAAAGATGCGCCCCTCCACAATCGAAAGAGAAGGCCGTGGCTGAACGGAAAAGGAGGCGTCGAGAAGAGCACCCGCACAGGCACATGCAGCATCGATCATCCTGCGACCTCGTTCGCGAGAGGACGTGTCTCCCCCTCCTTCCCCTCGTTCCTTTGTAACGTTGTGACATGTACAGCCCAGGGGCCGTTCACTGAACGCTTGCCCCCCAGGGCTGTTCACTCAGTGCCTGCCTCCGCGCGTGTAACATTGGTACTGTAGTGCGCCAGGCGGGAACAGATGGTGGTTCACTCGTGTGGCCCGCTCCGATGTTCCCCCCACGACCAAGAAACAACACACCTGAAAACGGCCCCCAGACCCCAGCCATGTCCAGCTTGGCGAGCCGCGCCGGGCCGCGGTGACGAGAAAACTTCCACCAGCGCCCCAGAAGCCCCCGGGACGGCGGCATCGTCGTCGTCGCCGCCGTTGCCCTCGTCGCCGTCGTCGTCGCCGCCGTCTCCGTCGTCGTCGCCGCCGTCACTGCCGTCGCCGCCGTCGTCGTCGCCGCCCCCAGCGTCGTCGCCGTCGTCGTCGCGGGCGTGGTCGTCCACGTCGTCGTCGCCGTTGCGCGCCCGCTCCGACCTCTGGCGCGCGGCCCGCAAGCGGATCGGTCTCCAGGGCCTCCCCCTCGGCCGAGCGCCTCCCGGTTGACGCACCCAGCTTGGGGCAGCCGGAGCCACGGTGATGGTCAAGATTTGGCCTCCTCCTCCTCCTGCTCCTGCCCCCTTCTAAGCCTCCTCGTCCTCCTCATCCTAACCCTCCTCCTCCTCCTCCTTCTCCTCCTCCTCCTCCTCCTCCTCCTCCTCCTCTTCCCCGTCCTCTTCCTCCCCTCCTCCTCCTCCTCCTCCTTCTCCTCCTCTGTGTCCTCCTGTTCCCTCTGCTCCTCCCCATCTCTTCCTCATTATCCTACTCCGTCCCATCATCAATTTCAACAGCATCGCACTAATAATCATAATCAGCAGCATCATCCATAGCATCACCAGCAGCAGCATCATATTCATCGTCATCGTCAGCAGCATCATCACCGGCAGCATCATTATCAGCATCATCATCGTCATCATCAGCAGCATCATCATCAGCAGCGTCATCAGCGTCATCCTCATCATTATCAGCAGCATCATCAGCAGCATCCCCGACCATCCCTCCATCCATCCTCCTTCTCTGTCCTAATCCTCCCTCCTTGTTTTCCTGTCCCTTCTCTTTCACCCCTGCCCTCCTCCCACTCCATCCCTCCTTTCTCCTCCTCCCCCAGAAGCGTCCGATAACTGCCAGACATGTGGGGCAGGGTTTGAAAGTTCATGAAATATAGGTCACCCTCGGGGCCCCGAAGCGGACCGCGCTGCGCGGCAGGGGCAGGAGAGGGTTGTGCTGTGCGGGAACGAGAAGATGACCTCGCCTCGAGTGGCACAGACCGCGAAGTCCTCCTCTTTTCCTCATTCTCCTCCTCCTTCAACTCCTCCTCCTCCTCCTCCTCCCCCTCCTCCTCCTCCTCCTCCTCCACCTCCTCCTCCACCTCCTCCTCTACCTCCTCCTCTACCGCCCCGAAGCACCCAGCCTCGGAGGTCCCCTTGAACGCCCTCCCACGACCTCCGAGACGTCGTCGGTTCCCGACCTGAATGGGTACGGAAAGAACGAGCACGATGCCCAGCAGCAGTTTCAGTTCCTTTTGAACGGGGCTCGCTGTCGGTGTCGCCGCGGGCCTTGTCCATCTGAGGCAGAAGGCCGCCTGCCCAACATCAGCCGCTGTCGGTTTGGACAACAACTTTTGTTGGGCATTGTACCAGTTTTGTGCGTACCCATTTCGGGCGTTCAAAGGATTGGTCCAGTGCACAGTTGTTCGACCCCCAGATTTCGACTAGACGTAAGAGTGACCTGTCGCCAGAGTAACCCCTGGTGCGGGCCCAATGGGGTTCCCCGATCGCTGAGCGCGCAGCGCGAGCAGCGGCTTGCGCGCCCAGGTTCGGCCAACCCGCGTCCGCCGTTTCGCCGCGCACGAAAGGTCACTCTTGCCCAGGGTCACTCTTGCGTGTAGCCGACCGGGGCCGAAAAGATAGATGCACCGTGCCGCGTTGGAGCGGGGCCCGAGCGGAGTCCAGACATGCTGCGGTGCACCGGCTCCGCTCTCGTAGCACGCGGGATGGGCGAGGCGAACCTCGCCATCGCCGTGGCCGTGGCTGCCCCGCCGGCGCCCCCCGCCGCCATGTCCGCCCGCCTCGTCACGCGCGCGCTGGCGCGCGCGCCCGCCGCCAGGGCCGCGCAGCATGCGGGGTTAGCGGCGTGCGCCGCGCGCCACTTGCACGCCTCGGCGCAGAGGCGTGGCCTAGGGGACGAAGAAATGTACAACGTAGCCTGTTCCGCCGTCGGGGACGCCTGCGCACCAACGTGGCAACGTGGGGGGTGTGGGGGGTTCTGCGTTGCAGCCGCCCGGGGGCGGGCGTCCCCAACGGCGGAAAAGGGGATCTTATACCGTCCTTCGCCCGCGAAGTGGCGGCCCAAGGCCAACTCGGATCGGCTCGGTGCGCGCGATCGGCCCGCGCACGGCGAACGCGCCACCCGGCACGCATTTCTGCGTGGGGGCACGGCGGCGGCATCGGTCGGGGCCGGCAAGGGGCCACCCCGGTGTGCGCTCGTCCGCATAGAGGCGGCCACGGCCGCAGGCCACCCCGATCCCCGGACCCCCTCGAGTCATGAAGAGATCACGGTGGGAAGGTTTTTCGCCATGTTCGGCCTTTGGGGGCCTTTTACCAGGCCTCGACCGTCAGAAAGCGACTCGGGATGAAAAACCGATCCCTGGGAGTGGATCGAGACCTCCCGAGGGTCGACGTGATGAAAAACACGACGTCGGGTGTTTGAGTCTTTGGCCAGGGCCATCCTGGGCCCCAGAGTGGTGCACGCGGTGGGGCCGTGCATTAAGGAATGTGCTTAGGAGGCTTCAGACCCTGGAGGAGTCCTTGCCTGATGATGGTGGCGGTGATGTCCATGGCCACTCCGTCGGAGTTGCACCGGCCTCTAGACCTTGGAGCCTTTATCCAATGGCTCCAGCGCCCTCGCCGTAGGCCTCCCGGTCGAGGCCTGTAGGGCCCACGACACCACCTTGGGTCCCAGGGGCGCCCTTGGCCAGGCACGGCAGCGGTGGTGTTCTAGGCCTCCTAGATTTAAGTCGGGCTTGTCCCTCTACAGGAGGAATATTCAAAAAGAGTTAAAGAATAGTCCGGGGACGATTTGTTGACCATTTCTGATGATTTTTCAACATGTTTAATTATTTTTGATTCGTCATCCAAAATCCGCCTCTACGAGGACATGCCCGACCTAATCCTAGATGCATCGCGGATGCATCGGCGATGCGGCTCGATGCGGGGCCCGATGTTCTCCACGCGACGTCGCCGATGCGCCGCCGACGTCGGCGATGCATCGCCGAGGCATCGGTGATGCATTGGCGATGCGGCGCGATCCTCCGACCCCATCTACTCGGACCCCATCTAGGATTAAGTCGTGCGCGTCCCTCTACAGGAGGAATACTCAAAAATAGTAGTTCTATTGTTTTAAATAAAAAGGCTGGGGACGAGGGTTGCAAGTAGTTTTGGGCATGTTGGATGTATTTGTTCACTATGTTTCATTTTTTTTCCAACATTCCCCTGTAGGGGGACAGGCCCGACCTAATTCTAGGTTTGCGGGTGCCTTCTGTGGAGCTCGGTCTGGTCGGGGCGGCTCTGGTCGGATCGTGGCCCGCCGCCCTTGCTGGCTCGTCGCTGCGCAGCGGGCGGGGGTCGGCCCGGCCTCGTCCCTGGTGCGGCCGCCCTCGCAGAGGCCCGCCGCCAAGATGAGCCCCGCCGAGCTCACGAAGATCCTCAGCGACCGCATCTCGAACTTCTCCGACCAGCAGGACGTCCAGGAGGCCGAAGGACCAACAAAAAGCTGGGAAACGGAGCATTAACTTTTTAAGTCGGGCATGTCCCCCTACAGGAGAAGCACTTCAAGATATTCAAACCAACAAAAAAAGTCTGGGGACGATGTTTGAATGTTGTCGGTCATTTGTTTGTTTTCTTTCCAAGACCCGCCTGTAGGGGAACATGCCCGACCTAACATTAACTTTCGGATGCTCGCGCGGATTCGCGGGGACCTCCGAAAGTTCCTGTTCATGCAGTGTTGTTCTGAGGTCGGCCGTGTGCTCAGCGTCGGGGACGGCATCGCCCGCATCTACGGCCTCAAGGGCGTGAAGGCCGGCGAGATGGTCGAGTTCTCCAGCGGCCTCAAGGGCATGGCCCTCAACCTGGAGACCGACAACGTCGGCGTGGTGGTGTTCGGGGACGACCGCGCCATCGTCGAGGGCGACAGCGTCAAGTGCACGGGCACGATCGTCGACGTGCCCATCGGCGATGCCCTCCTGGGGCGCGTCGTGGACGCCCTGGGGACCCCCATCGACGGCCAGGGGCCCATTGCCACGAAGGAGCGGCGCCGGGTGGAGCTCAAGGCCCCCGGCATCATCCCGCGCCAGAGCGTGCACGAGCCGATGACCACCGGCCTGAAGGCTCCTCCGATTCGGTTCGCTTCGGTCTTGATGGCTTCCGAGTCCGATGCGATTCGCTTTCGGATTCTGATGTGGGCTCCGATGTCTCAAGGAGGCCTCACTAGCCTGCCCACTCCCGCCGATTCGACTTCTCCCGGCTCGGCTGCCGATATGTCGCCGATCCGATTCATGTCGGTCGCCGATCCGACATCGATTCGATCATGGGTTCTCCTGCCGAAGGCGGTCGACAGCCTCATCCCCATCGGCCGCGGCCAGCGCGAGCTCATCATCGGCGACCGGCAGACGGGCAAGACGGCCATCGCGATCGACACGATCTTGAACCAGAAGTCGATCAACGCGTCGCCGGACAAGAAGGCGCACCTGTATTGCATCTACGTCGCGGTCGGCAGAGAAGACAAAGCGGCGCAAGCGTACATGTTCGAAGATCCGCGCGGATTTCTCGGATCGCCGCTGGAGCCGCCTCTGGCGCCGCTCGTGGCGCGCTCCGCTGGCGCGCTCCGCGCGCCAGGGAGGGGGGTCCAGCGCAGATCCACGAAATTCGCGCGGACTTTCGAGAATTTATGTTTACGGTTGGAGTTGGAATGATAGTGCATGAGTGGCGCCGCTAGCCCGCTTATTTCAGGATATTCCCCACGTTGGGGATAGCGTGCGCAGAAGGGGTAATCGCCTCACAGGGATCGCGTGCTTTTCGTTGCACGCTATCTTTGCAACGCCAGCATTATTCGGAAGCATAGACTTTCGGTCCTCGCCGAGTTCTTGGATCGGCGTTGGAACCTCCTCCCTGGCGCGCGGAGCGCGCCAGGGGAGGCGCCGAAGGCGCTGCCAGGGGGCTCCAGCGCCGATCAAAGAGGTCCGCGCGGACTTCTGAAAGCTCATGCTTATGTCATTACATGGCACCCCGCAGTTGCGGATAATAGTGAGGGGGCGGGCGCTGGTTGGGTCGCGGGTGGGTCGCAGGTGGGTCTCGCGGTGGGTCGCGGGGTGGGTCGCGGGTTGGTCGCGGGCGGGTCGCGGGCGAGGACGACGACAACACAACACCAGCACAACAAGCAAAATCCGGCAGACGGAACGCCACTTCTGTCACGCACCCACGGACAATGAATGACTTTAAGGGTAGCTCTTTGGAAGATGTTACAGTATCGGGAGCATAGCTCGCGCGCCGCTGCCTTGGGCTCAAGGCACGCGCGCCCTATTTGCCCGGACACTGCTTGTGTTCGCTATGTGCTGGAAAGATCATTACATCGATCTGATCCTATCTTACCCATCCACCCCTCATACTGTACCCTCACAGCAGAGCGATGGATGCTATTTGCCAGGCTATATGCCCTATTTGAGTTACCAGGTTCACTTTCGACTTGGTAGCGGAGCTGGCCGCACTCTCGTGTGGTCAGCTTTTGCTCTTCTTAGCCTCATATTCTTCGGCACGATCTTCGTGACCACCTACCACCCTGCGCCACCACTCCCAGTACGTTTACGAGGATCTATTCAAGAGCAAGAAGCAACACGAGAGGTACGACGTCTAGACGACCAAACTGGTACCATATACGCTTCATCATTGCGTTACTACCAACCGCTCGGCAACGAGCTAACAGCGCAATACTTGAAGCAAGGGCGGGGAGACCCGCCAGACAGAGCGCCTCGAAGACTCGACAAGGCGCTACCCCAGCGCGACACCGCTCATCATAACCGTCCTTCGTTACACATTCTCGGGCTAATCGTTTTCGCTATCATATGGTTCGCGCTGGGGGCAGCAATCGCACACATGCGTCGGGGAGATAACAGCACCGATGGGCAAACACATGGCCCATATTGGGACCCTCAGGGTAATGTACCTTTTCGTGAGTACATTTACGAGGTCAACGCGTGGCTCAACGTTACAAGCGGACGTATGACGCCACAGGCCCAAGCGGCCGCAATACAACGCGGCCTGGGAGGCCTAGCGAGGACACTCGCCATGAGGGTACCGCCTGACATCATAAACTATGGTGCTGATATCGACGGGGTCCACACAGACCCAGTAACTTATATCATGTTTCTCCTCAGCATGAAATTCGAACGCCTGGAAGATGAGCGACAGCTCACTTCCGGCACACAACTTATTGACTTCCATGTGCCTCACGGGGAACGAATCGATGTTACTCTTACCCGATTCGAAATGGCCCGACTTGAGGCACAGTCGGTGGGATTCGACCTTCCCAACTTCCAACTGTTAACTACTATCCTATTCCGCGCCCTAGGCGTCGGCAACCAGAAGGCCATGCAACTCTTACAGCCACTCAATCACCAAATGCCTCGAACACAACAACAGTATGATGAGTTGCTGGAGAGGATGCGTTCGGTAGGCCACCTATCCGAACGGTCTCCTGGTAACATAGGATCTGTGTTTGGAAGGGGAAGGGGATCTGGTAGTGGAAATTTCTACACTACCTTGACCACTGAAGCCCAGCCTGGAAACGGGCCCTCAAGCATATGGGCCGATGACCCAGGAGAATCCACTGCTTTATTAGCAGGGGATCGATCACAACCAAGCTGGGCAACCAGCCCTCCTTCTAGAGAACCACAACCACACCGCTCGTTATGGGGGGAATCAAATCCCCTAACCGACGGTGTATCCACCTATTTAGGAGACGAAGACTTCGACTCCGGCACCGATACAGACACTATATCATCAGATGGTGTTGAAGCTCTAGATTGGTCAGATATCATGAATATGGATAACGACAATCAGCGTGCTGAGCATTTATTCTGGCTGTTACAACAGGCCAAACGAAGGTGGAGGAGGTTCACACGAAAACCAGTGCGTCGTGTTAGAAGGAGGATACGCAGAAGTTTTAAAGGAAAGGGTAAAGGCAAGCGTGGTCGTCGGAGGTTGAACGGGCGAGGTATCGCGGCATTTCTCCAGAGGCTCTCAGATGAACAACATGATGAGATATTCTTTGGGGGAAAAGGCCGTGGTAAAGGCCGTAGAGAGACCTCGGGTAAAGGTAAAGGTAGGCGGGGAAACCCGCGAGGTAGAGACGGCCAGGTTCTCAAATGCCATGAATGTGGTAGTTCCGATCACCTTGTGCGAGATTGTCCAGCGAAGGGAAATGGAAAGGGCACGTCGTCCGAAGTCCATTTTGGCTCGAGCACACCGTCCACTGAGTATCTGAGCCTCCAGGACTTTGAGGCTATGGAACAGATATTTTTCACATGGGTCGTTGGCATGGACAACATTGACGAGCTCGAGGGGTATGGTCATGGATTATACGCGTATTACCTCGAGTACGTCCGCCGGTTCGTCACGGGCAGTAATGAACTCACTCCCGTGGAACACGGTACGCTCGGAAACGAGCCTCTTTCCTTCTTCGACTGGATGTTCGGGAACCCAGGCAACATCATGGCCTACGAGAGCGACGACGAGGACACCACTATAGAGGCTTCGCCTTCCGAGGTTCAACGGAACCTCGAACCTCCGCCCGCAATCCCGCCTGGAAACAGGCCTTCTTTGATGGGAGAATATCCCCAGACCACTGAAGACTTAATTGAAATGAAGTCTCAGGCATCTGTTCAGGCCTTCATTGCAGGCGAACCAGATATTCCGTTCATACCTCCTGGTTCGCTTGCTCCAGGCGAATATGGACCACGTACCCTTTTGCAGACCCTCATGAGGATGCATGAGATACTTACAATTGGTTATCCTGAGAGTCAAGAACACATCGAAGCTGGCATCATGACAGAACAGGATAATGATGCTTGCGGCAGCTCAGAGCTACTCTTGGCAGCTTTGACTCTCATTGACAGTGTAAATCCTCAGGAAGTGCAGAGACACTTAATATACTCTCATGGTAGATGGCGCCGTGCCCTGGAAATGGCAATGGCTATGCGTGGTCATGATCTTCCCCCGCCAGGATGGAATCTCCAGGAGCTGGGGATGAGGCCAAACCATACGGCCATGCGTAACATTGCTAGGCAGCCTATGCTCGTCGATGACCCTGAGCCGACGACTGTGCCTCCTACCCCAGGACAGCCGAGCGACGCCCAGACGCCGGCCATGCAGGGAAACCTGCCTTTACCAGATGCGCCAATGGCCATCATAATTGGTAGTTCGATATCAGAAGAAGTAGAAGGCGATGGTTGTGGGTTAGATGAGGATGACGTCACCATCCTCATGATGGACGTGACTGGTGAGGAAGAGGTCGATTTCGACCCTGATGAGTCTGAATCATCATCACCATCGGCACAAGCGCCACTTGCGCCGAGCTCCACCCAGCAGGGGGACCTGCCTCCATCGAGCGATCCATCTGGGATCGCAGAGGAGCCTCCTCAAGCACCTCCAACGGGTGCCGCTCCTGCTGCATCGGCAGCTTCTTCTGATGAGAACACCAGAAGATCTCGTTCCCATACGCGCGTCAGAGAAGAGCCACATCCCCAGGCTCGACTTCCTCGTGAGTGGAGACAGGCTGGCCCAAAGGAACACGTTCTCAGAAGAGGTGGCCAGCTACTTCCGCACAGCGACCCACGACGCCGAAAAGGGGAACACTCGGCCTTCGGCCAGGGCAATCCTGCCTATAGGGACGGCGATGGCAGGCCCATCCGTGGAGGCTATCAGCTTGCAACAAACATCCGCCGCCCTGAAATTCAAGAAGCGCGGGCCCAGTTGCGAGATATTACCGCCAGTTGCGAGATATTACCGCGGCTCGCAAGCAGTATAGGCCTCACGCTGCATGCGGTCCTTGTTCCCAGCCGTTCCAGAATCACAGGCCAGGATGCCCCGTTGGAAACAACGAAGGCCTGAGCCCCAACAGGGGCAAAACCCCTCCTAAAGAGGGCCATCCGCCACTTGACCCGATGACACCGGAAGAGATCGCAGTAGTGAATAGTCGTCTCGGGATCTTGGGCCACTTGGATCCGAAAGAAGAAGAGAAACCTACTCCGGCTCCAAGGGGAATGGTAGCCATGACCCAGGAAGAGAAAGACGCGCTCTTTAGTCTTCCTGGTATGCGAGGAAACTCGCCTGGCGTCTCTAGCCAGTCCCAACAACCAGAGCCGATCATCAAGGACGAGACAAAGGCTCAACGTGTGGCGGAGGATGAGGAGCGCATTCGGACAGTAGAAGAACGCACACGCGAGGCAACTCGCAAGGTGTTGGAGGATTCCAGCACGATCTACATGAAGGGGGCTAGGAAGCCCCCACCCCCACTAACTTCGAAGGCCAAGAGTGAACCCCCGACACCTAAGCCGTCTCCGGTGCCGAAACCGAAGGCGAGCTCTCAGAGCCCTGGGCCAGACGTGCATATGGAGGTGTCTCGATCTGCGACGCCGAGGCCGCCGATTGGCACAGCTCCTACACCAGCATCTGTGCCCAAGCAGCAACCTCAGGACCCCACTGAGGAACGAAG